CAGTGTGCATGTGCGCTGTCTGTGTACATCTGCATGTGTGTGCATGTGTGTCAGTGTGCATGTGTGTTGTCTGTACGTCTGCATGTGTGTGTGCGTGTGTGTGTGTCAGTGTGCATGTGTGTTGTCTGTACGTCTGCATGTGTGTGCGTGTGTGTGCATGTGTCAGTGTGCATGTGCGTTGTCTGTGTACATCTGCATGTGTGTGTGCATGTGTGTGGGTGTGTGTCAGTGTGCATGTGCGTTGTCTGTGTGCGTCTGCATATGTGTGTGTGCGTGTGCACGGGTGCACTGTGCACATGCTGGTTATTGCCCCTGGTTATTGCTGACGTAGCCATAAGGAAATTCAGATTCCCAAGACTCCTCACTGTGGACGGGATGCGGGCCAGGTCCCACGTGTCCACACGATGGCCCATGGGACTCGCTGTTACCCGGGCCTGTGAAATGGAGCAGGTGTTGCTCCTATGTGACACCTCCCGGCCGCAGGTCAGCTTAAAATAAAGAGGCAGCTGAGCGCTCACACCCCCACGGCACTGCTGCTCGTTTCCAGCAATTCTGAGGAAACGTGACTGCTCCCGCCACGCAGACGCAGGCACTCGCTGTGCTAAGATCTGCACAGGAGCGGCCATAGCAGTGACACGCACACCAGGTGGGGGCCTCCTGGAGTGAACAACACAGGAGCAGACGTACCGAACAGGGGAGCAGGAGAGTGGCCCACCGAGGCGCGAGGGGAATTGTCCGACGGGGACTGAGCCCGCCCTCCCGCTCCACAGCCAGCGGCTCTTCCAGATCTGAGTCCTCAGAGCAGAGCCATTCTGTCTGGGAAAGGACGCTTCCCGGAAGCCTGGCCGTAGCGATTCTCAAACACGTTTGCCTTACCTTCGACCTTCCTGAGTGTTAGGAATCCACAGGGTGACACGGTCACGGATGCTGAAGGGAACTTGAAGCCAGAGCGTGTTTCTCCCTTTAGGTTCCATTTCAGAGAAATAGCTGAGAGCAGCGCAGAATGCACAGCTTGTTGTGGGAGAAGAGATGAGAAAATGTGATAGTGATTTCAAGGAGCATACACTATAGAGCAGGGGTCCTCAAACTTTGTAAACAGGGGCCAGTTCACTGTCCCTCAGACCGTTGGAGGGCCGGACTATAGTTTTAAAAAAAACTATGAACAAATTCCTATGTACATTGCACATATCTTATTTTGAAGTAAAAAAACAAAATGGGAACAAATACAATATTTGTATTTGCATGTGGCCATGGGCCGTAGTTTGAGGACCCCTGCTATAGAGGAATCCAAAACCAGAAACAAATTAAAATGAAACCCAAATTCCGAACCCATCTATTTGGAGCCGCGCCGTAGAGAGGAAGTGTCATCCTGAGAAGTTACTTGGTTCTAACAATGTAGGCAGGAAGGTTACCTGAACACACAACGTTTTATAGACAGTAATCTCATTTTAGAATTATATTCATGCTCAGTTTCAGTTTTGAAGGAAAAACAGGACTCCCCCTGTAGACATTTCAGCTCTGTAAAATACGAAATTTGGAGCTCGCCGGAGATAACTTTAAAACATGTAAATTCCCAGATGATCATTTAGCTGTCGAAGGGTGGCTCTGCAGCAGTTTGTATCTGAAATTATAGACTATTTCACAAGGACGGACTGGGTCTCGTTTCTCCTGTCGTTTGTTTGAGCGGTGTATTTTTAGATCCTGTGTTTTCGGGTGCCCCCGGCTGCGCTCCCGTCGCGGCACATAAAGGGACAGCTGCGCGGCTGGCAGGGCGCGTCAGAGAACGTCTGCCCGGGGCTGGGGTGCTGCCTTCCCCCACGGTGCCCCAGGATGCGGGGAGGCGAGGAAGGAAGCCAGATACCGGTGGTGTGATCGCAGCACCTCCCGTCGGGGACGCTGGGGAGGCCACCCCCAAAACCACGAGTCACGTGAGCGGGGAGAGGTGCTGGGCCTTCCCAGGTTGGAGGTCGTGTCCTGGAGGACACGGCAGACAAAGCTGTGGCCTGACCTGCCTCCCGCCTGTTCAAGGCCCTGAGAACCGGGGGCGGTCCCTGTTCCTCCAAAGCACCCTATTGAGAAGCATTTCGATATGTTAGCCCTGGGCCCTGCGGCTCCTGCGGCCCTTAGCAACAGCGCAGCGTGGCGCACGGCCGTTCTGCAGGTCTGATGGGCGTTAAGAGCATCGATGGGCGTCGAGGAGAGGCCTGCAGGCGAGCAGCAGGAAGGGAGCCGCATTGAAGAAACCTCCTCTTCCCCGCTCCCTTCTTTTCGCAGGAAAGGGACAGGCGCAGGTCCCATGGAGTCGGAGCGCAGTGATTCCAAGAGGGACTCAGCACTACGGTGGGGCCCGTGTCCTTCTTTAATTATTAGCTTTGGCTATGGGCCTTCAAGGTCTTTGTGGATGTTGAATTCTGTCTGTTTCATAGTCACTGGCTTATTTATTTTCCTTTCCTCCCCCTCCTGCCCCCTCCCCTCTCCCTCCTCCCCTTCCCCTCTTCCTCCTCATCCCCCGATTTTCAGTTGTTGGCTGCTAGCGAGAGCACTTTATAGATTAATCATGACTGGAGGTTGCAGCATAAGCATATGCATTGGGGATTCATTCTTGGGGTTGCACAGTACAGTCCACACGCTGCTTTTAAGAAACATCTATATGATGTGTGCGTGTGTGCATGTGTGTGTGCACGGGTGTGTGTCTAGAGAGCATCATTTTATGCGAAGCTCACACATGCAAGTCCATGACTTTGCTCCAGACTATCACAGTGGTCTCACTGCTGAGTGTGAGCAAGGGTCCCGGAAGGCCCTGCAGCCTCTTTGGTGTGTTACATTGTTGCACTGCCCCCTCTCCCAGAGCAGGGAGGGAGGGAAGGAGAGAGGGAGGACAGGCACTGGAAAGACTCATTTTACCTTCGCTGATGTGTTGCTTGGGAAATGTGTCTTGTGGCTGTGAATATGTGGAGGTAAGTAGGTCGGAGGAAATGTGCCTGGGAGCAAGAACCTCCTGAGGGTCCCAAATCCAGGGGGCATAGAAGTTACGCTTAGGTTTTAGGTATTTCTACTTTTTTAAAGTCGCATTTCAGCATCTTGGTGTCGCTTCGATCTTGAGAGGTGTCCCTGTTACAGAAAGGAGAATCCTCGCCATCCTCATACCCTCCCCGTGCGGGCTCACACACCCTGCATTCGCTCATCCAGTGTCCATCTCCGAGCGGCGGGGCGCCGTCCTCTGCAGCCGGCCTCACTGCCCGGACCGCCTTGGGCTCGACACGATGTCGTCACCGTTTGTTGATGGGCTGTGTGACAGCGTGAGAGCTCGCTCGGGAGCCTTCCACAGGGGCCCTGTCAGCATCCTGGATTCTCGGCCATGAACGGGGCAGAACGCAACAGCTTTCTTCTACTCCAGCGGGTCCAACTTTATTTCCTTCCCTGAGAAAAATGCTTAGC